CGCTACATACAGAGTGGCCTTCAGATACTCGGCCTAGTCACCGCGGTCCACGGCACCGAAACTCCTAAGGAGCCTGCCACAGTTCAGCAGGCTCTGGGGGGGGAACATAGGGAAAAATGGCGTGAAGCCATGGACAAAGAACTCGAAGCACTGAAGGAGCGCAACACCTGGAAAGTGGTCCCCATCGGCGTGGCACGAAACAAGACAATACTCACCGGGAAGTGGGTCTTCCGTGTGAAGACGAAAGCAGACGGTACCATTGACAAGTTCAAGGCACGATGGGTCGTACGCGGCTTCGACCAAGAACATGGACGTGACTTCACTGTGACATTCGCTCCGGTCAGCCGACACACCTCACTACGGATTCTTCTCGCGATCGCCGCTATGAAGGAAAAGAAACTGCGGCAAATCGACGTCGCCAATGCATTCCTTTACGCACCTGTTGACGCCGAAATCTACGTCGAACTCCCACATGGTTCCCACGGAGAGCCCAATCAAGTCTGTCAACTGCAAAAATCTTTGTACGGGATCAAACAGGCCCCGAGACTGTGGCAGCAGTATTTACACGCTCGACTCACTCGCATCGGATTCCAGCAGCTACCGCACGACCAAGGCATGTACCGGCTTACGAAAGGCGACGACTACATTCTATTGATCGTCTACGTAGATGATCTACTCTACATCGGGTCGACCGACAACGTTACTACCTGGTTCGAACGGGAGTTACAGAGAGATCTCACACTCACAGTCTCATCTACCGTCACACAATATCTCGGCCTCAATATCCAGGAAGGAGAAAGCGCGATCTACCTCAACGCTGCAAAGTACGCCGACACCATAGCCAAACGTTTCTCACTTACACCTACCACCATCTCTACGCCATACCGCTACACGGCAGGAAACAACAAGGCAGAATCTGCTTCACTAAAGCCCGCCGGCATACGCAACTACCAGAGAAAGCTGGGATGCCTTCTCTTCGCAGCCGTTACCTGCCGCCCGGACCTATCATACTCCGCAAGCCAACTCGCCACCTACCTCAAAAGGCCTGAAGCTGAACATATGGCGGAACTAGACCGCGCCCTTCACTACCTCGTTAGTACTCCGACGATCGGCCTAATCTACTACAAGAGCAAAACTACAACGCCCAAGCTTATCGGGTACGTCGACGCCGACCACGCCGGAGATCCTGACAACAGGCGCTCGCGCACAGGCTACATCTACCGCCTCGAGCCTATCGGACCTATTTCGTGGCAGTCGAGCAAACAGGAATTAATCGCTCTCTCCTCAGCTGAAGCTGAATATATCGCACTCTGCTCAGCCACCAAGGAAGGACTGTACCTTCGCGAACTTCTGGAGGAAGCGAAGCTGGCCCAGTTACCCAGCTTCTCCCTATTCTGCAACAACCAGTCGGCAATTCGCATAGCCAACAAAAATGGATTCGCGAACAGGACGAAGCATATCGCCCTGCGATATTTCTTCGTAAAGGACGAGATCGAGAAGGGGAGACTTGAGCTGTCTTACTGCCCCACATCCGAGATGGCAGCTGATTACCTGACCAAGAAGCTCGGAAAGTCGAAGTTCGAATATTGCATGCTGCTGACTGGACAGAGCCACGTCACCTGCAGCGACACTCCATAAGCGAAGGGGAGTGTTGGAAACAACTGATTTAAGCGCCTCTGTCGTGTCGAAACACCAAGACAGAAGCGAAGCAGATCATATCGAAACATCGGCGAGTCAACCCTCGGAGGTTGAACAACTGCTGGAGGTTACGCGAAAGTCAAAGGTCAGCGACCTTTGACCTGACAAATGCAGCGCGACAGTAAGGACAAACAACTGTCTCGATACTGAGCAGTTGCCCGAGTCGACACTGTATCGAACCGCAACAGCAACGGTAAAACAGTTATTAACTGTATCTCTTCATATTCCCTTGTATTCTTATAAAAGCTTGTATCTCTTTTGTTTAATCAAACAACTTTGCCCTCACATACCAGCGCAAGGTGGTTCACAATCCTTTTATTAAACGCTTCCGCTATTACATTGTCCTACCCTTGAATTCTGTCCTGCAAAGATCCTAAGGGCTTTTTCAGCCCAACATGGTATGAGAGCAGTCAGGACAAATTCGACTACGATCAAGATATCTACAACATCACAAGACATGGCAACGCAGAAGGAGAGAAGCTCCTCTAACGGCTCTCCCGGTACTACTCCTACTCCACCTCCTGCCTCTGGCCTACAGACAGAGGAGGGTACGGCAACAAGGCCAAGAGCAACATCTTCGGAAACTCCCGCAAATCAAGCTGCGGCCTTCGATCCAGACATGATGGAGAAGTTCTTCTCCTTCATGTCCTTCCACGAACAACACCAGCAAGGGGCACCTGCACAGTCAAACAACAGCAACAACAACGCAACACCGATGAGCCTCAACGGTTCATCCTACGCACGTGGAAATCAACAGCAACGGCCTACCTTTGCTCCGTACGAGCCCCAGCGTGGCTCCGTCAGCTTTATGCCACACCCGCAGCCCGCATCTGGACAAGAAAAGACATTGGACGCACTTCAAGTTCAGTCGCATTTCGCGCACGTCTTAAAACTACAAACAACGAAGCCTTTCGACGGAAAGGACTTCTTTACCTGGTCATTCGAGTTCGAGCTAATGATGGAAGGCGCGCAGATCCTTGGCTTCTTCGACGGGTCCCTGCCATATCCAACACACGGCACACAATACGACAAGCAGCAGTACACGTATCAGTCAATGATGGCTTTTTCAGCCCAACATCTTGCACCCCGCTCGCAGCGAAGCAGTTGTTCAGCATGAAGATCCACATCCGCACGTTTGCGTCGCGTTGACTTGGGTCGAGTGGCTCGGGTTTCTACGGCTTGAGCGCGCTTTGACATTCCGGCAGTGCTTCCGCGCCAGTCGACATGTTGGGTGCAGGAGATGGTGCGGCATGACCAAGAGGAATAGACGCGAATTCACAAAGCTGTTGCATTTCAGCCCGTACCTGACAATTTTCCAGCGTCAACGTTTTGAATTGGCGCATGAGTTGAGCAAGCGTGTTGCCCATGTCGTTGGGGACAACAGTCATGGTTTCATCCATGTCGGCTGGACGACTCCAAGTCTGCAAGTCGGCAAGTCGGCACCGCGGGACGATGACGTCGTAGTCGGTCGCTTGTTGGAAGTCGCTCCCCGCGAAGGCTCTGATACCAAGTGTTAACCCCCTTGGCCTAAAACCGCTAAAGAATATCGGGGTCGACTAAGTCGAGGATGAAAACGCGGCGGAAGACTTTGACGAAGAAAGGATTAGCAAAATAGGCGAAGAAGTAATTGAGTAATGGTTGAATGAGAATTGATTGATATTGGGGAATACAAGCAAGGTTGATATAGCATGCAAGATCGAATGATGGAAAGTACTTCATGGGACTAGAAAGTAGAAGCAAGAAAAGTAGAGTGCCACATAGCACAAAGAAATCAAGGAAGATAAGGATAAGGGTGAGTTGAAAAGTACTGTTGCAAGGGAACAGTATATCCCCCCTTAACACTGCTCCTCAAGAAAACTGTAGCACCACAGGTTGCTTCTGCAACCCAAAGCTGCTGAGGAGGAGCAGAGGGAAAAGATAAGGACGCTGCTGCTGCTGCTGCTGCTGCATGCGCTGAGGATTTCAACTGACTTGGAGGAAGTAAGGTCGCCAGGGACGGTTGCCACAGGGAAAGTGGATGATAGAGGGGAACAAGAACCTGGTTGTGACTGTGGCTGTGCCCATTGCAGTGGGGAGGCACGAGTGGAAGAGGAGGGGGAGGGGGGAAGCGGCTGGAACAAGACCATGCTTGTCACTGTTGCACTGGGGAGACTGGAGAGTGGAAGCTGCAGGCAGGGCAGGCAGTAGGAGAGAAGGCAGTGCTCTTTCCACTCTTGTTTTCATTCCTTCCAGAAACCCCTCATTGTGCTGTTGCTGCTACTGGCGCCACTGCTGGTGCTGCTGTTGCTGCTGCTGCTGCTACTGGCGCCATTTCTGGTGCTGCTGTTGCTGCTGCTCTTGCGGCTCCTCTAGTTGTGCTGCTGTTGCTGCTGGCTGTGGTAGTTAAGAACGTCCCTGTCAGATAGCACCTCCACCGGAACAAGACGAGCCCCTGCCTGCACAGCTGCTACAGCCTCCTCTCCAAACTCCACAACTGCTGCTACTTCCGCTGCTGCTGCTTCCTCAGCCACATCTACCCTCCTACTGCTATCTGCAGCAACTAAGCCTGCCTCTACAGCAGATGGAGCTGCAGCAGTAGTGGTAGTGGCAGAAAACCCAGCAGGAGCAACATCAGCCGAGGCTGTCAAAGCGGAACCTGAAGCTAATTGAGCAGCAAAAGCGTACTCGTCAGAAGCAGCTCCGTCAGGAGCAGCAAAGGAGAGCTCTGCTGTGGCGTAAGTACCAGCGTATGCAGGCACAAGCGATGGGTGAGAGACTTGGGAGGAGGAAGCAAAAGAAGGGGCAGAAAGAGCAGCAGTAGGGCTAACATCTGATGCTGCTTCTGTTGCTACAGCTGCTGCGGCTGTTGCTGTGGGTGCTGCATCCGTCTCCACTGAATCACTAGCCCCTGCAGCTGCTACGGTGTTGCCTGCTGGCAGGGCGGCTGTAGCTGCTACAGCCGCAGCAGGAGCATCTGCTGCTGTTGCTGCCGGCTTGGGTGACTGCTGCAGGCCTGTGAAGCGAGCGAGATCCACCCATTGCTGGAGGTAGGGAGGGGGAGGGGAAGGGGAAGGGGAAGGGAAGGATGTTGGTACCATGAGACAGCGAGCACACAATGCTGGAAGCAGGTTGATTCTGAGAATTAGTAAGGGAGTTTTCGAAATCAGCCTCCAACAAAAGGGAAGTAGGATGTTGGTACTGCATTGTGGGGTAGCAGGAGGACGGGACACGGGAAGAAGCAAAGAAGTGCAGAAGAGAAGGAAGGGGAGGACAGATGGGGATACAGGGACAATGGATGGTGGGGAAACCAGTGGACAACGCACCGAGGTACCCCAGTAGGAGTTGGTGGTGCGGGCGAGGAACGACACAGCTGTCCCCGCGACCGGATTGGACGCCAAGTAATAATCCGCGATCCAATGCTCCACAATCCCCGCAATCGCCTGGTAACGCAGATTCGCTGACGTGGACAGGAACGCGCCGTACACCAATGCGGTTTTGAATACGGGAGATCTCGCCACTGTAGATCCGCTGCCATTCGCGTCTGCTTCCCCTGCCGTTGCTGCTGCTGCTGCTGTTCCCGAAGCTACCGCAGACCCTCCTGCCACCCCAGCTGCTCCAAATTCCTCATTTGTGGAAACCTGCCCGCTGGCTGCCTGATCGGTTGATTTCGCGGGCAGCTTGTTTTTCATGTCCGCCAGGAAATTTGTCAGCGACAGCGTCGCCACGCTCGAAACAAACCCAACCGAAAAAAGTTTCGTTCCCGCCACCACAACCGTACCGATTCGTTCCGCCAGACCGAAATTCTGCCCAGGCCCGGCCATTTGGAACGCATTGTGGGGCAGCGAGGAAATCCACGCGGTCAGCCCGCCAAAAGGTTTTTCCCCGACTGCCCCCCCGACCGCCTGCGCGGCCGGCCCAGCTGCATCCCGGAAGGAGAGCCGCGGCGCGGGCAGCCACACCGAAAAAAAGTTTACCACCGTTCCCCTAAGAATATCCGCGGAAACGTATTCGAGCTCCGACCAAAATCGATCCCCGCGCTTCTGAAACTGGGCGGCGAGTGACGTGGCGATGCTAATCGCCTCCTCCGTGCACAGCCGCTGCAGGAATCGCGGATCCGCGTAGAACCGTTCGCGCAAACCCTCGAACCGCTTCGTCGCTTCCGCGATTAGCGGGTTGTTCTCGAGCTCGAAAAAAGACTGGAGCGTGTCAGGGGAGATTAATCCGCGCTCGATCCCGACTTGCAGGTCGCGCGGGAGCGCGTCCGGGGTGCGCCCCGCGGCGCCCATCACGCGCGCGATCTCCGCGCGGTCGAAGCAGTTGCGCGTGCACGCCCAGCTGCCCGAGTACCAGAAAAAATCGGCCTCGGGGAAATCGGTCTCGAGTCGCGCGCGCTGCCGCTCGGGGTTAAGCAGCACGACGGCCTGCGACGCCGGGGACGCGCGCAGCCAATCCGCGACGCGCGACGGCACGCCGCGACCGTTGGCGCCGAATCGCACGTGCGACGCGCCGGTGAGGACGACAAGAAGCCCGATTTTCCCGCCTTCTGACATCGCCTGCGAGATCGCGCCCGCCATAGCGTGATCTTCAACAACACGCGCCTGCGCGAACCAGTACGGGCCCGGGCCGAACGGGAACGAGGCTCGGGAGGAGGTCCGGGAGACAAGAGGCTCGGCGGCGTTCGCAATGGGTTCGATTCCCAGCAGCCCGCCGTTTCCGCCGCTAATGCTGCTGATGCCGCCGTTTGCTAATGCTGCCCCGCCGCTGGTCGCAGCGGCGCTAAATGCGGATGCGTTACCGCCGCCGTACGAAGGGACGGCAGTGGTGCTGTCGGGCCGCAGGAAGACGGCCGAGCCCCCTCCTAGCGGCGGCGCGTACTTTTTGCGGTCCGACGGGGAGAGTGCTTGAATACCGCCGGCTTGCACTGTGCGAAGTACCTTAGGGGGCACGCCGCACGCGAACAGGCGAATCCCTGCTTCGCGACAGTAGCAAAGGAGTGGTAACATCTCCTGGAAGCGGCCCTTGGGCCAGTAGTTGACTGCCACCTGGAGCTCATCCTCGGGAAGCCTGCCGATAAACACAACGGCGGAGACGAATCGGGGCAGGTTAAGACTTTAACTAAAAACAAAACAAGGAGAGAAAGAAAGACGTAAGGGAAGAAATAAAAGAGTGACGGGATTGGCTAAAACAAACATCACCTGCTTACCTTCCTCCGATGAACTTGTCGAGTAGCGGCTGCATGGAGCGCGGAAATGCGGAGAGCGCGAGAGTGACCGGGCGACCCGCGGCGAACGACTCGTCGCGGAGCTTGCGCAGGATCTCGAGGGCCACCGCCTGCGAGAAGGGAAAATACCAGATTCAATCAGATTACCTTATACTGAATCAAATCGGATAAAGGGAGATCGCAACGAGGGAGGGGGGGGACATGGTGGGGGCTGCGGGAGCGACGCGCTGCGCAGCTGGTTCTGGCGGTGACAACGAGGGGAGAAAGATCAGGGGAGAACGGTGATGAGGGACGGACGGAAACGGAGGAGGAGAGGTGAGGGATGAGGGGCAAAGGTCTGGGGTTGATGAGGCGAATGGGACGAGTGACGGGGATGAAGCACTTACAGAAAGGCCCCACTGAAAGATTCATGTAATGCACGGGCAGGAATTGAGGGTCTACCATTAGCGGCGACGAGTAGTGAACACAAACGAACAAGCAGAAACATAACACTGATACGGGAATCGCCTTCGCACCTTGTCCGTGGGATCGCGAACAACTTCCGCTTCGCCAAGATAAACCACCTTCGCCGCCAGCAGTCTCTCCCACGCCTTCGTCTTATCCCCGACAAGAGCCGGCTCGCCAACAGTTGTAGCGTCATACACGCGCGTTTTACTCGCTGCTGGTCCGCTCTTACCCAATAACCCCCCCTCTCCGTCCACACCCCCTGCCGCGTCGCCTAAGAACCACATCGGCTGCTTCTTAGGAGGCTCTACGGTCTTAGCGAAGGCCGCGTCGACTAATCCTAACTCCGCGGCCCCCGTCGCAGCGAGCGTCGCAAGGCCGAGCCCCAGAAGCGTGCGACGGTCCATCTTGGGCGACGGAAGCTTCGCGACGGCTTCGGTGCGAGGAGGAGTAACGGCTAAGGGGGCGGCGCTAGCCGAATCTACTGCGCTGGACGAAGGGGTTACGGCACGGGTACAGTCAATAGGCGCCGCATCACCGAACGCACCATGCGCATCCCGCTGGGCTGCAGCTGTGGTGGATCGGGAACTAAAGCCGGAAGAAGAGGCTCGCTCGACTGACGCCGTAACGCTCGCCCGCTTTTCCGCGAGGAACGGATAAGCTCTGACAAGGCTGCGCCGCCGAAAGTTGCTGAGAACGGTGCTGTTCTTATTGCGAGCCGCGCAGCGATCTAACGGCGAAAGGGGTGCCGTTGTGAAGGGGGAGACTCCGGAGACTCCGGAGACTCCGGAGAAGAACCCGCAAGCCGCGGAAGACATGACGTCGGGTGCGGGAGAAGACAGCGATCGCGGGAGCGGCGCGACGGCGGGGGAGGACACAGATCGGGGGAAAGCCGCGACTCCGGGGGATTGCGTGAGGCGCGGGCTCCGCTGCGGATTTGTCGATGACCGATGATGCCGAGACGCGCGTTTCTCGATGGACGAAATCAAGGGTGTGCTGGAGGGGACGAGGCCGTGCGGCGTTGACTGACGTCGCAGGAGCAGGGTGCGAGTGTTATCCATGCCGCTGGCAGGTGTTCGGAGCTGCTAGGAGCTGTTAGAAGCTGTTCTAGTGACAAGTCGCGGGAGTGCGGGAATTAAGGAGACGAGGAATGAAGCAGCTGCCACTACAGGCCTTCACCGTGGCACTGCTCTAAGAATTAATTCTCTAATCGAATTCAATCCCCGCCACGGGCTTACTGAAAAGCCCACGGCTTCGCAACCCCTACAAACCGAACAACCAGTCACAACCGCAAAATGGAACGAGCTTCTGGAGGAATCGCGACGGGGAACACGAACCTATGAAGACATACGAGTTTCGAAGGGGTACGGGTATGTCAACGCCATGGATGGAACCTGGTTGAGCGTATCGAGGCAAATTTCAAGAACAGGGGAGGAAGAGATGGGCAAGGGCAGAAAAGAATGGCGGGCAGATTAGAAGAGAGAGGAGGGCAGATTCGAATGGCGGCGATGGGCAGGCACGGGTAGGGGGAGGTTGGGCGGAGAGGCGAGACATGACATGACATGCGCGCGAATCGGATGCGAAAGAGGCTGATGGATGTTACTGATTGGTGGGATTCGCTGAACTCTGGTCCTTTTGTTCGCATGTGCGCTGCATCCTGTTCTTGTTTGTGCATGATTGATAGGCTTGCGGATAGGGCAGAAGGTAAAAGTTACGCGGCGTTTTGTGGTGCTCATGGCGGCACGTTAGATTCACCGAATGGAGTCCCGTTATGCCTGGAGGGGGCGAGGTCCAGGGAGATCCGAAGATGCTCTCCCTGCAAAGATTCTTCTTGCCTCGTATTGGCTGAACGGAATCCGCTTGTCGGCGTGGCGCAAGGAGCAACACACGTAAAATTTCTCGGTACCGCGACGTGCGGAGGAGCTGCCAGCACACGAGTAAGATGTGGACTTGAGGAACCTGTGAACGGAGCGCGTGCTCACAGGGGGGCCAACATCATAGGCATGCAAATTAGTCTGGTAATCCTATGCTATTGTATGCAAAACCGTCGATACCTCAATCTCGGAGTTTTTGACATTTTTTCCTGATCACGCGTTCGTGTTTCCTTAAAAAACTGATCCATGCCACGCTTGTCTTTGCTCTAAACTGTGATTTCTTCGGGAAACTATTTCTCCCAGATGAACAACACAATGCACTACACCCAACCCAAGAAAAAGAAAAAACCAATCGGAAAGGGATGCGACTCAGGCAGGCATCAACGCTAAAAACAGTGCCCTTTCCCATGTTTAGGGTTGATCCCTCCCGGAATGACATCCAGGTCCCTAGGGTTTTATATTAGGTGCAATATATTGTTACGAAATGGACCCGGTATACTTTCATTCCAACGGAATTTCCAGGTAAATGTATCGTGCACATTTAGCGGAAAATTGTTGCCCGCAGGAATCGTTTTTAGGCGCCAAACAAAGCGCGGAAAGAACCACAAAAAAAAACGAAATTGAAAACCCAAACGGTTATATCACATATTTCTTCCTTTTTTGTGCTGCGTCAGAAGTTACACAGTGTTTTGAGTGGCTGCAACAGACAAAATTGCGAAGCAGAACTGGGGTATCGACAGTTTTGCATACCATTGCATAGGGTTACCAGACTAATTTGCATGTCTATGATGTTGGCCCCTCACAGAGTGAGGGCTCGTGCTGGCAAAATGAGAAATATCACGTCGCCGCATCTCCCTGCGCCAAGGAAAGTCTGTCGCGCGTGAGATGGCACGACTTCTGGCGACCTGAAAGATATCCTTATCCGTCCGCACAGTCCCTCATTGCGAGTTGAGAACCTCTTTATACGACGCTTTTCAATCGCCTGGCATTCTCTGTCGCCAGTCATAATGACACACTGTCGTCCAGTCATAATGACACACCGTGTCCTCGTGTGCTTGATGTACCAGTGCTCGACCAATGAGTGAGTGGAAGACCACTCCATCGTTTTACGAAAATTGTACACGTAACTTGAGTATTCTCTTGTTTTCACTCACCATATTGTTGTAATCAAGTCAGGAAACTAAATTGATATAATTCAAGAGAAGAACCTCGGATAGCCGATGATATATACGTATATGATAACAAACATCAAAAGGTGGGATTGACACATGTGCCACATGTATCACACATGTAACCTCTTGGTAAGGACCTCTACATTAATTCTATAACAGCATGTTGTGGAATGACCACAAGAGCGTCTTCCGCACCACAGCCAAACCCGTCCCTCCTGAATAGTGTTGGGCTGAGTGCCCCTTAGGATCTTTGGTAGGGTTAAACTCTGGGTAGAGTGATGTAGTAGCGGAAGCGTTTAAATGAAGTCCTTGAACCACCTTGCGCTGGTATGTGAGGGCAAAGTAAGTTGATTAAAACAAGCAAGTACAAAGGTTTATATAAGAGTACAAAGAATACGAAGAGATGTAATTAAACTGTTTTACTGTTGCGGTTCGATACAGTGCGACTCGGGCAACTGCTCAATGTCGAGTCAGTTGTGTGTCCTTGCTGTCGCGCTGCATTTGTCAAGTCAAAGGTCGCTGACCTTTGACTTTCGCGTAACCTCCAGCGGTTACTTCAACCTCCGAGGGTTGACTCGCTGGTGCCTCGATATGCTCTGCTTCGCTTGTGCCTTGGTGTTTCGACACGACAGAGGCGCTTTAAGATTGTTTGTTCCCAACACTCCCCTTCGCTTCTGGAGTGTCGCTGCTGGTGACGTTGCTTTGTCCAGTCAGCAGCATGCAGTACTCGAACTTCTGTTTTCCGAGCTTCTTGGTCAAGTAGTCAGCTGCCATCTCGGACGTGGGACAGTAGGATAGTTCAAGTCTCCCCTTCTCAATCTCGTCTTTCACGAAGAAATATCGCAGAGCGATATGCTTCGTTCTGTTCGCGAATCCATTTTTGTTGGCGATGCGAATTGCAGATTGGTTGTCGCAGAACAGAATGAAGTTGGGTAACTCGGCTAACTTCGCTTCTTCCAGCAGCTCGCGAAGATAGAGTCCTTCCTTGGTGGCTGAGCAGAGTGCAATATATTCTGCTTCAGCTGACGAGAGAGCAATTAATTCCTGCTTGCTCGATTGCCAGGAGATCGGTCCGATAGGTTCGAGGCGGTAGATGTAGCCGGTGCGGGAGCGCCTGTTGTCGGAGTCGCCAGCGTGATCAGCGTCGACGTAGCCGATTAATTTAGTCGGTGTAGTTGTGTTCTTGTAGTAAGTTAGGCCGATCGTTGAGGTACTGACGAAGTAGTGGAGAGCGCGGTCGAGCTCCGCCAGGTGTTCTGCTTCAGGCTTCTTGAGGTAGGTGGCGAGCTGGCTTGCAGAGTATGAGAGGTCGGGGCGGCAGGTGACAGCTGCGAAGAGAAGGCATCCTAGCTTTCTCTGGTAGTCGCGTATCCCGGCGGATTTGAGTACAGAGGATCCTTTCTTGTGGTTTCCTGTCGCGTAGCGGTAGGGCGTAGAGATGGTGGTAGGTGTGAGCGCGAAGCGTTTCGCGATGGTGTCGGCGTACTTAGCGGCGTTGAGGTAGATCGCGCCTTCTTCTTCCCGAATGTTCAAGCCGAGGTACTGTGTGACGGTAGAGGAGACCGTGGGTGTGAGGTCCCTCTGTAGCTCCCCTTCGAACCAGGTGGTGATGTCGTCAGTGGAGCCGATGTAGAGTAGGTCGTCTACGTAGACGATCAGCAGAATGTAGTCGGTGTCTTTAGTGAGTCGGTACATTCCTTGGTCGTGAGGTAGTTGGCGGAATCCGATGCGAATGAGGCGAGCGTGTAGGTACTGTTGCCATAGCCGCGGAGCTTGCTTGATCCCGTAAAGTGATTTCAGCAGTTGACAGACTTGGTTAGGTTCCCCGTTGGTACCGTGTGGGAGCTCGACGAAGATTTCCACGTCGACAGGTGCGTAGAGGAACGCGTTGGCGACATCGATTTGCCGTAGCTTCCTTTTCTTCATGGCGGCGATCGCGAGGAGGATTCGAAGTGAGGTATGTCGGCTAACCGGGGCGAATGTCTCGGTGAAGTCCCGTCCGTGATCCTGATCGAATCCACGCACAACCCAGCGTGCTTTGAACTTCTCAATTGTGCCGTCTGCTTTTGTTTTAACGCGGAAGACCCATTTCCCGGTGAGAATGGTCTTGTTCCTTGCCACGCTGATGGGGACAACTTTCCAGGTGTTCCGTTCCTCCAGCGCCTTTAACTCTCTGTCCATGGCTTCACGCCATTTTTCCCTGTGTTCCCCCCCCAGAGCCTGCTGAACCGTCGCAGGCTCCTTAGGAAGAGTGTTGCCGTGGACTGCGGTGACGAGTCCGAGAATCTGCAGTCCAGTCTGTGAGTAGCGGGGAAGAGTTGCATCCTCGGGATAAGCTGCTTCATCTCCCGCTTCTGGATCAGGTATGAAATTCGGTCCTACTCGTTCTGCTTCGTTGGTGTTGACTGTCGCAGGTGTTACGTAACCGTTGTCGGCGAAGTAGTAGAAGGTTTCGGCGTTGACACTTTCGCGAGGGTTATCTTCGTCCATGGGGACGTCGACGGAGCAGAACGGAAGGGGTCCAGCTTCTTCTGATGCGTTGGCCACATTCTGCTCGTCCCAGTCAGCTTCGTCTGCTGCCGAGGCGAAGGCTCGGTCACCACGAAAACCACCTGTGGGATCTTGGTCCTCTTGCAGGTTGGCAAGGTATGTCTGGAGCGTGAGTCGTTCGTAGAAAATGACGTCGCGTGCTGCTACTGTTTCCTTGGAGTGGACGTCAAAGATTTTCCACGCGTTGTAGTTCTTTTCGATGCCGAGGTGTAGTCCCCACTGTGCGCGTTGTGAAAATCGGCCCGCTCGTGCTGCTGGGGGTCGGTACTGTACCATGCATCCGAACACTCGTAACATTTTTGTGCTGCCCTGTTTTCCTGTCCACAGCAGATGCGGTGATGCGTTGTTCGGTAGTGATGAAGATGAGAGCAAGTTGTGCAGCATGACAGCGTGGTCCATCGCGTCAGGCCACTGGTGGTTGGGTAGCCGCATGCCACGCAACAGTTTGCGCATGCTGTTCTGCAGAGTCCTGTTCATTCTTTCTGCTACACCTTGCTGCTGATGGGCGTAGGGAAGAGAGAGGAGCTGCTTGATTCCCCTTTCCGCCAGGTACTGCTTGAATCGCTGAGAGGTGTATTCTCCTCCTCCGTCAGACTGGAAGCTTTTCAGCTTTACGCCCGACTCTCTTTCTGCTACTGGTAGCCAAGCAGCGAATGCTTCGAGGACCATGTCGCGGCTGGGTAGGTTTAGATGCCAGACGTAACGGGTGGCGGCGTCGATGAAGGTGATTGTGTAGTTGTATATTACTTGTCCTGGTTCCCGATTGTACAGGATGTCGCTATACACCTTTTCTAGTGGTGCGTACGCGGGTGTGCTCGGGTTGTGATGAGGAGTGAACGGCCGATGTGGTAAGTCGGCTTCGGGGCAGGTAAGACATGTTCCTCGTGCCCGTTGAAGTTCTCTGCCGTCGAGTAGTAGTAACGAGTCCTTGTCAAGGACTCCTGCTCTTATTGTGTTGTTTAACACAGTGTTGCTTGGGTGTCCCATGCGTGCGTGCCAGATGTCTTCGGAGGCGCGGTGTCCGGGTGAGCGTCGATACGCGTCGGAGTTGGAGTAGAAGCTGGCGGTGAAGTTTGCGCTTCTATGGACTTCCCGTTGAGCCGGATTCAGCTGCTGTGCGGGTGTTGGTGGTGCTCCGTCAACGAGGAGTGGTGTCGTTGTTGCTGCTACTGTTGTTGTTCCTGCTACTGCCGATGATGTCTCTGCTGCTGCCGATGATGTCTCTGCTGCTGCCGATGTTGTCTCTGCTGCTGCCGATGTTGTCTCTGCTGCTGCCGATGTTGTCTTTGCTGCTGCCGATGTTGTCTCTGCTGCTGCCGATGTTGTCTCTGCTGCTGCCGAATGTTGTATTGTTACTAACGCACGTGTTCGTTCTGCTTCAGGAATGGTATGTGAATACCAAAAGCCTTCCGGACTGAAGTCGGGGTCGAGATCCGGCGGGTGCGTCCAAGATGTGAAGGTGACGATCCCGTCACTGTCTGCGGTGCCCAGGTCTGGGACGAAATCGAGAACGAAGACATTGTTCTTCAGGACCGCCTTTCCGATGTAGAGGCCGCCCTTCCCGTGGTACAGCTTGAACTCCTGGGTGGTACTGTCGGCTTCCAGATGTATGCCTTTCGCCATCAACTGACTGACGCTCAGTAAGTTGTAGCCAAGTCCTTCTGCTATTAGGACTTTGGACATTTGCAGTATGACATTCGTCTCTCGTGACTGAAGTTGCACTACTCCTTGTCGTCATGTGCGCAGATTCTGATTATTGGCGACAGTGATGACGACTTCTCGTTGAAGTTGGTGCTCGCGTTGAACGAAACGTCCTGAAGAGCACATATGTTGTCCGCAGCAACTGTCCAAGAACCATGTATCCTTCCCGGACGGCTCGCTTTGAGCGATGGCGGCGTACGTCGGGTTCGGTTGAAGTGACTCGCGGCGAGGCGTGCTGTTGTCGAGTTGTTCTTCTGGTGAGTAATATGGTGGTGACTCAGTTACGCAGGAGTCACTCAGCCTTGCCATGCAGCTGACGATGTTTCTTGTTCCTTTCGCAGGTTGTCCCGTCGATGTTGTTGAGACTTGTACTGAAGTTGTCGGATTTGCTTGCGTTGAGGCGACTTGACTGCTTGAAGGGCGAAGTTGGCGTTGCGGCGACGTTGACTGTTGTCGATTCGGGCAGTGCGTACGAGGATGCCCTGAAGTCTTGCAGAGGTGGCAGAACGGAGGTACGATTTTCGGTCGATTGTTGTTGTTGTTGTGGCGCCGTTGAGTGTGAAACGCGAATTCGGGCACTGATACCTTTCTCTTGTGTCGTTCTTCTTGCAGGTCCATGTCTTGCTGCTCGGCGTGGATTTCGGCGCAAAGTGCTGCTTCAGAAATTTTCCCGTGGGCTCCTAGTATGGCGCGAGTGGAGCGCCAGTGAGGACCAAGACCGCCGATGACAACCGTGACGAAGGCGTCCTCTGAAATCGATCCTCCACATCGAAGAAGCTTGTCGCGCAGCTCGCGGCAGCGACTGATATACGCCATTCCCTTCTCGCCTGGTTTCATTTCGATTGTTGTCAGCTGCGCCATTAACCGACTTTGGTTTACGCTGTCTGTTGCTTGATACAGGCTCTTCAAGTGATTGTACGCGAGCTCCGCGGAGTTGCCGTAGCCTCGGTAAGACCGTATGTTTTGTTGTTGAGTTGGAGTGATGTTCCTCAGTAGTATCGTGTACGCCATCATCGATTGATAGGTGTACTGCTGCTTCTCATACTGTGTGCCGTTTGTTGGGTATGGCAGGGACCCGTCGAAGAAGCCAAGGATTTGCGCTCCTTCCATCATCAGCTCGAATTCGAACGACCAGGTAAAGAAATCCTTCCCGTCGAAGGGTTTTGTCGTTTACAGTTTTAGAACGTGCGCGAACTGCGATTGAACTTGTAGTGCGTCCAGCGTTCTCTCTTGTCCCGGTGCAGGTTGTGGTTGTGGCATGAAGCTGACGGAGCCGCGCTGGGGCTCGTACGGAGCGAAGGTAGGTTGCTGTTGTTGATTCCCGCGTGCGTAGGATGAGCCATCGAGACTCATGGGCGTCACGTTGTTGTTGTTGTTGCTGTTGTTTGATTGCGCAGGTGCTCCTTGCTGATGCTGCTCGTAGAAGGACATGAAGGAGAAGAACTTCTCCATCATGCTTGGATCGAAACCCGCGCCTTGGTTTGCGGGTGTTTCAGTAGACCCAGCTGCCGGTCTCGTTGTTGTGCCTTCCTCTGTCTGTAGGCCAGAGGCAGGAGGTGGAGTAGGAGTAGTACCAGGAGAGCCGTTGGAGGAGCTCCTCTCCTTTCTGGTAGACATGTCTCTTGGTGTATTAGGTGTTAAGGAGAAATAATTTTAGCCCTAACCAGCTCTCATACCATGTTGGGCTGAGTGCCCCTTAGGATCTTTGGTAGGGTTAAACTCTGGGTAGAGTGATGTAGTAGCGGAAGCGTTTAAATGAAGTCCTTGAACCACCTTGCGCTGGTATGTGAGGGCAAAGTAAGTTGATTAAAACAAGCAAGTACAAAGGTTTATATAAGAGTACAAAGAATACGAAGAGATATAATTAAACTGTTTTACTGTTGCGGTTCGATACAGTGCGACTCGGGCAACTGCTCAATGTCGAGTCAGTTGTGTGTCCTTGCTGTCGCGCTGCATTTGTCAAGTCAAAGGTCGCTGACCTTTGACTTTCGCGTAACCTCCAGCGGTTACTTCAACCTCCGAGGGTTGACTCGCTGGTGCCTCGATATGCTCTGCTTCGCTTGTGCCTTGGTGTTTCGACACGACAGAGGCGCTTTAAGATTGTTTGTTCCCAACAAATAGAATCCGTACCCTCTCCTCTCGACTAAACACCGCACTACAAGGCGCCTTCCATGCTGCTTTCTCCTGCGTGCACGAGGCCACGGCCAAAGTAGAGAGCAACGACGCCAAAGCCGTCGCGGGCGTCGTGCAGCTCCTGGAAGAAGCGGTCATGGTCCGCCGCACTCTGCCTCAGCCCCACCCGCATCTCCCTCACCATTCTGTAGGAGGCGGCACACTTTGGACACTCCATTCCCCCCTCCTCTCCCTCTCCTTCCTCTCCTCCCTCTCCATCTACTGCTCCCATCCCTCCTCCATACCCCCCCCTTCTTGCCTCGCCATACCCAACCCCTCCCACGCCTCCTCCCATCATCCCGCCACCGCCACTCACCCCCCCCACGTCACCTGCCATTGAGGCGGCAGCAGCGGCCGCTACAGCCGTGGTTGGGTCGGCGAGACAGCGCAGGTGGAACGCATGCAGACAAAAGAAGTGGACGGCCGGGAGGTCGAGCGACGAGTTGCACTCAGCACAGCGGGAGGACTGGAAGACGAGAGGTTCGGTCAGAAGCTGGTGCAGCTCTTTCCTATACTTGTCAGTCTCGTGCTGTTGGGGTAGGTAAGTGGGTACAAACAGGGTGTGAGGGGAGAGTGAGAGAGAGGGGAGAGTGAGAGAGAGGGGAGAGTGAGAGAGAGGGGAGAGTGAGGGAGAGGGGAGAGGGTCAGCAAGGTCGAGCAGCAAGTTGCACTCGGCTCAGCAGGAGGACTGGAAGATGAGAGGTTCGGTCAAAAGCTGGTGCAGTTTTTTTCTGTACTTGTCTGTCTCGTGCTGTTGGCGGATGTGAATGTAAGACAGGGGGGCGAGAGAGGGGAGAGAGAGGGTCAGTGGGGTGGAGGAGAGAGTCGCACTCGGCACAGCGGGAGGACTGGAAGACGAGGGGAGCAGTGAGGAGCTGGTAAAGCTCCTTTCTGTACTTGTCGTAGCATCTAAACCCTGCAACCTATCCCAACTTGCTGCCACTCATCCCCACCTGCTGCCACTCATCCCCACCTGCTGCCACCCATCCCCACGTGCTCCCACTCCTCCCCACCCACCTGGTATTTCTCAATCGCCCGCCAGTCCTCCTCAATAATGGCTGCCTCCTGCTGCAAGTGCCGCGACACATAGTCCCGAATCTCTCCCACCGTTATGTGCGGGTTGCGCGAGAGCGTCTAGTTGGGGGCAAAAGGGACGAGAGGAGCAGGAGGGAGAGAGGCTACAGGTGAGAACGTGAAGAGAGGGGAGAGAAGGTGCATACGACGGCACTGCGACACATAGTGTGATGTACAGGCATTCCCGTACCTCCCCCACCAGTGAGGAGGTTGCATCGAACCTCCATGCCTCTCAGCACGAGATTTTGAGTCTCGCTTGTCTACCATTTCACCACCAACGCTATAGTTAATACAAGTGTATTCAATATAGTTAACATAAAGCAAGAATAGTCAGAATACATCATTGGAAAAAAGAAAGCGTGTCGTTAAGAGGAGGTAGCACATGACTGAAATAACTAATATTAATCTGCGAGTACGAGGTATCGAGAAAAATGTTCTTATGTCCCCCCATAAAGTTCGCGAAGTAGTTGATCAAATTCGCGAGGTCGATAATAGAGTGCCCCAACATCTTCCGGTGTAAACCCGCCTAAATAACCACCAGCAATCAGCTCACCTGCAACACCAGCAGCGGCGGCAGCAGGTTGCCCCTCTCCACCGCACTCAACACCTCCGCCACCTCCTCCCCACACGCCTCCCCCCGTTCCCCCAGGTACCTAACCACATCCGCCCACACACTCGGATCCCCCCCCCTCCCCGCGTCCCCCAGACGCTTGCACGCAGCAATCAGCCCCTTGCTGTCGCCCTCCCGCATGTGCATCGCCAGGGCTTCTTTGAACAGCCGCATTCGCTCATACAGAAATATTAACCCGTCTCTGAAGCCATGCACCTGGGATGGGAGAAAGGAGAAGATGGAAGGAAGGGGAGAAGCGATGTGGGATACAGGAGGGTGGGCAGAGAACTTGAATCTTGGCCCTAGCAATCTGTTACCCCCCTCTCCCCGCATCCCCCAGGCGCTTGCACGCAGCAATGAGCGCCTTGCTGTCGCCCTCCCTCATGTGCATCGCTAGGGCCTCTTTGAACAGCCACATTCTCTCGTACAGAAAGAGGAGCCCGTCTCTAAAGCCATGCACCTGGGAAGCAGGGGGAAGTAGGGGATGGAGGGGGGTAAAGGCTGTGCATCGCCAGGGCCTCTTTGAAGAGCCGCATTCTCTCGTACAGAAAGAGGAGCCCGTCTCTAAAGCCGTGCACCTGGGAAGCAGGGGGAAGTAGGGGATGGAGGGGGGTAAAGGCTGTGCATCGCCAGGGCCTCTTTGAAGAGCCGCATTCTCTCGTACAGAAAGAGGAGCCCATCCTTGAAGCCGTGCACCTGGGAGGGGAGAGAGCGTGCAGTAGAGGGGAGGAGGGGATGAGGGACATGGGAGGGCACCTTCCCCTGCATTGCATGCAGCACCCCCCCCACTCATGTGCATCGCCAGGGCTTCCTTGAACAGCTGCATTCTCTCGTACAGAAAGAGGAGCATATCCCTGAAACCATGCTGAATTTTGAGTCGACTCAAAAGAGGAGCCCATCCCTGAAACCATGCTCCTGGGACGGGATTGGGAGGGGTGAATTGGGGGAATGGGGAGGAGACGGAATGAGGGTGAGTGAGTGAGCTTCCTTGAACAGCCGCATTCTTTCGCACAGAAAGAGGAGCCCCTCCCTGAAGCCATGCACCTGGGAAGGGGAATGGACGGATGGGAGGAAGAGGGAACAGAGAGACGAGTTTGGAGAGCGGCGACTTTAAAGACTGGGATCAGCACTCAAAAGGGAAACCTTTTGGGGCGCCTCAAAAGTCAACTCGCTTTAAAGACGAAGATCAGAACACAGAAGCATGGAAACCCAGGGCTGTTGAGGCGCCTCCCCTCGTCGCTGAGCCTCACCCCCCTCTCTCCCCCCCACAAGGGCTTTAAAGACTGGGATCAGCACACAAAGGCATGGAAACCCAGGGACAATGCAGAATGGCTTTTGAGACGTCTGAGAGGGGCCTGTCAGCAGCTGTCCAAAACACGTGGACATTCCTCAGTGACACGCCAGTGACACATCAGCAGAATCCCCCTACCTGACACGTCAGCAGCGCCAGGTCAGCGTCGTAACGAGGAGCCGACTGCTGCTGCCAATAGGCTCGCAGCAACGCGCCCGCCTTGGCCAAGCAAGCTGCCCGGTCATTACCCTCTGCACTTATGGGAGACACAATACCTCCCCTTCCACCACCTCCCTCCCCACTCGCTCCTGTTCCAGAAGCAGTAGCAGCAGCAGCAGCAGCAGGAGGAGGAGGAGAAGTGAGTGAGCTGGGAGAAGGGGGGATGAAAGAGGTACTGATAGCAGCACTACTGCTGCTGCTGTTGCTGCTGGCTGCTTCTCTCTCTTTTTGCTGCCCGAGAAGCATCCTTCGTTCTGCCCACCGCACAGGATCCGTCCGGGCAGAATCCCCCGAAAGAAACGAGCTGCCCATGCTATCACCGCAAGCAGAATCAGCAGCACCAGTGGCGGCGGCAGCAGCAGCTTTCAGAACCGACTCAAAGCTTGGGAGCTCAGAATCAGGCGAGGAAAGAGAATCCGACGGGAGGGAGGAGGACGATGGGAGGACGGCCGAGGTCTCGTAGCAAAGGTATAACTCGAGGAGTGAGTTAAGGACGTCTTTATGCCATGGTGAGTCTATAACCCTGTCTACATAGGCCTCTAGGAACTTCATCAGGCATCGCGGTTGGTCCACAAACACTGGGGCTAACTCCATTGGTGACAGGTATTTTTGCTGCTGCCAGAGGTCCGTGATGCGGATTTTTGGCCCAGCGCTGCCGCTACCCGAACTGCCCGGGCTGCCCATGAGCCTGCCCGAGCCGGAAACAAGTGACTTTCGAAAGCTGGAAGAGCGAGGGGGAATGGTAACCGGAGCAACTGCCCCTGCTGGACCTCCGGCTGTGCCTGCAGCTGCATCAACAGCAGCAGCAGCACCTGAAGAGGCACCAGGGCTGGGTCGAGGAGAGGCAGATTCTCTGTTATCCCTAAAGCGAGAGGGTCCTGCTCCAGTTCCCCCTGAACCTTCCCCACCACCTGTTGAGACAGTCCCGGCTCCCACACCCCCTCCTCCGTCACTGCTGCTGCCGAATCCTGTGCAAAGCTCTAAGAACAAGGAAATAGTTTCCTCGGGCAGGTGAGCCGCTAGCACCGGCCCGTATTCCCGGGCAGCCGAAACAATTTTCGCCTGGTCGGCAAGGGCAGAAATAAAGGCAAGCCCGTCGGCGTAGCGGTGTAGATCTTCCACAAGGATTTTTAAGTAAGCGGAATGCTTAGCGGCGCGCTGTGCAACGAAGAGAGCTTGGTTGTAATACCCGGCAGAACAGCAGACTTGAATCACCGTATCAGGATCGTATGGGAGGGTGGGGGAGGCAGAGGAGGTGTGAGGGAGTGAGAGGGAGAGGGAGAGGGGGAGAGTGGAGGCAGAGGAAGGGGCAGACGAAGGCTTGGGTGTGGCTGCGGTTGCTGGATCGATGGAGTGGGTATTGGAGGAGGGAGCATCGAAGCCGGCCCGAACGAATGCATCTAGTTTTGAGACGTCCTGGTGGGTGCAAATAAGTGTGGAGGGATATGCAGGGGCGCAACATGAGTGCATGGGAGTGGAAGGAGGGCATGAGTATTATGAGTGCGTAAGAAATTCAAGCAAGTTTTTTTTTATTTCTTTCTTTCTTTCTTTCTTTCTTTCTTTCTTTCTTTCTTTCTTTCTTTCTTTCTTTCTTTCTTTCTTTCTTTCTTTCTTTCTTTCTTTCTTTCTTTCTTTCTTTCTTTCTTTCTTTCTTTCTTTCTTTCTTTCTTTCTTTCTTTCTTTCTTTCTTTCTTTCTTTCTTTCTTTCTTTCTTTCTTTCTTTCTTTCTTTCTTTCTTTCTTTCTTTCTTTCTTTCTTTCTTTCTTTCTTTCTTTCTTTCTTTCTTTCTTTCTTTCTTTCTTTCTTTCTTTCTTTCTTTCTTTCTTTCTTTCTTTCTTTCTTTCTTTCTTTCTTTCTTTCTTTCTTTCTTTCTTTCTTTCTTTCTTTCTTTCTTTCTTTCTTTCTTTCTTTCTTTCTTTCTTTCTTTCTTTCTTTCTTTCTTTCTTTCTTTCTTTCTTTCTTTCTTTCTTTCTTTCTTTCTTTCTTTCTTTCTTTCTTTCTTTCTTTCTTTCTTTCTTTCTTTCTTTCTTTCTTTCTTTCTTTCTTTCTTTCTTTCTTTCTTTCTTTCTTTCTTTCTTTCTTTCTTTCTTTCTTTCTTTCTTTCTTTCTTTCTTTCTTTCTTTCTTTCTTTCTTTCTTTCTTTCTTTCTTTCTTTCTTTCTTTCTTTCTTTCTTTCTTTCTTTCTTTCTTTCTTTCTTTCTTTCTTTCTTCCTTTCTTTCTTCCTTCCTTTCTTCCTTGCTTTCTTTCTTTCTTTCTTTCTTTCTTTCTTTCTTTCTTTCTTTCTTTCTTTCTTCCTTCCTTCCTTCCTTCCTTCCTTCCTTCCTTCCTTCCTTCCTTCCTTCCTTCCTTCCTTCCTTCCTTCCTTCCTTCCTTCCTTCCTTCCTTCCTTCCTTCCTTCCTTCCTTCCTTCCTTTCTTCCTTCCTTTCTTTCTTTCTTTCTTTCTTTCTTTCTTTCTTTCTTTCTTTCTTTCTTTCTTTCTTTCTTTCTTTCTTTCTTTCTTTCTCTCTTTCTTTCTTTCTTTCTTTCTTTCTTTCTTTCTTTCTTTCTTTCTTTCTTTTTTCTTTCTCTCTTTCTTTCTTTCTTTCTTTCTTTCTTTTTTCTTTCTCTCTTTCTTTCTTTCTTTCTTTCTTTCTTTCTTTCTTTTTTCTTTCTCTCTTTCTTTCTTTCTTTCTTTCTTTCTTTCTTTCTTTCTTTCTTTCTTTCTTTCTTTTTTCTTTCTCTCTTTCTTTCTCTCTTTCTTTCTTTCTTTCTTTCTTTCTTTCTTTCTTTCTTTTTTCTTTCTCTCTTTCTTTCTTTCTTTCTTTCTTTCTTTCTTTCTTTCTTTTTCCGGTTTACCTGATTATTTTCGTGTTTCAGACTAGGTCAAAGTTCGAGTAGACTGTCCTACATTTTGATTCCTGTCTTTGCTGGCAGTGGTTGATAAAACAACAACCCAACACGGCTCAGCCCAACCGTTGCTACCTTGCCCACCCAACCCCTATGCACAACAAACAGCACCACCTGCTTTGGATGTCACTTTGAACTGTGAACATCAGTACAGTCCACATGTGGTCCGGCACGGCCATGGCCCACAGCCTTAACAGAGGCCTCCCCTTATCATGCAGCCACGGCCCACACCCTTATCGTGCAGCCGTTCAAGGTACCAGGCGAGCAGGCTCAGCAGCTGGGAGTGCAGGTGCCAGGTAGCGTGCAAGCAGCCCTCCCTCTCTAACCCAGGTACAGTACACTCACTTTGAGGCGCGAGAAGCAGTTGATAAGTAGGGTGGTGTGGTCTGGAGTGGCCACCCCCTTATCGTGCAGCTGCTCCAGGTACCGCACGAGCAAGCTCAACCTCTGGGCGTGCAGGTAGCGGGCAAGCCTCTCTAACCCTCTCTAACCCTCTCTAACCCTCTTTAACCCTCTCTAACCCTCTCTAACCTAGCACATTCCACTCACCTTGAGGCGGGAGAAGCAGTTGATGAGCAGGGTCGTGTGGTCCGGTGTGGCCACCCCCTTATCGTGCAGCCGCTCCAAGTACCGCGCGAGCAAGCTCAAGCGCTGGGCATGCAGGTAGCGCTGAATCACGTATGACGGCTCCACCTGCCCGATCGTGCGCTCGTATTGCCCCATTGCCTCTTCATAGTCCTGTGGTGGGGAGGAAAATGGGGGAGGAGAGAGGATACTGTGTTCCTGTGCGCGTGCAGGTAGCGCTGGATCACGTACGACGGCTCCACCTGCCCGATGGTCCTCTCGTATTTGCCCATTGCTTCCTCGTAGTCCTATGGTGAAGGGAGGGCAGGCAGGGCGAGGGGGATACTGCGTGAGTGGAGCAGGGCAAGCCTGTGAGTGAACAGTGCAGGCTCAGCAGCTGGGCATGCAGGTAGCGCTGAATCACGTATGACGGCTCCACCTGCACAATCGTCCTCTCGTACTGGCCCATTGCCTCCTCATAGTCCTGCCATTTGAAGGGGGGGACGGCAGAGGAGAGGAGGGAAGTACTGTGTTCTGTGAGGTGCCTGAGTACCATCCCAACGCCTCCCTGTCGTCCTACAGTGAGCAGCGGGGAGGGCGAGGAGGATATCGTGTTTCTAGTTTTGAGACGTCTCAAAACTAGCGGGGAGGGCGAGGAGGATACTGTGTTCCTAGTTTTGAGACGTCTCAAAACTAGCGGGGAGGGCGAGGAGGATACTGTGTTCCTAGTTTTGAGACGTCTCAAAACTAGCGGGGAGGGCGAGGAGGATACTGTGTTTCTAGTTTTGAGACGTCTCAAAACTAGCGGGGAGGGCGAGGAGGATACTGTGTTTCTAGTTTTGAGACGTCTCAAAACTAGCGGGGAGGGCGAGGAGGATACTGTGTTTCTAGTTTTGAGACGTCTCAAAACTAGCGGGGAGGGCGAGGAGGATACTGTGTTTCTAGTTTTGAGACGTCTCAAAACTAGCGGGGAGGGCGAGGAGGATACTGTGTTTCTAGTTTTGAGACGTCTCAAAACTAGCGGGGAGGGCGAGGAGGATACTGTGTTTCTAGTTTTGAGACGTCTCAAAACTAGCGGGGAGGGCGAGGAGGATACTGTGTTTCTAGTTTTGAGACGTCTCAAAACTAGCGGGGAGGGCGAGGAGGATACTGTGTTTCTAGTTTTGAGACGTCTCAAAACTAGCGGGGAGGGCGAGGAGGATACTGTGTTCCTAGTTTTGAGACGTCTCAAAACTAGCGGGGAGGGCGAGGAGGATACTGTGTTTCTAGTTTTGAGACGTCTCAAAACTAGCGGGGAGGGCGAGGAGGATACTGTGTTTCTAGTTTTGAGACGTCTCAAAACTAGCGGGGAGGGCGAGGAGGATACTGTGTTTCTAGTTTTGAGACGTCTCAAAACTAGCGGGGAGGGCGAGGAGGATACTGTGTTTCTAGTTTTGAGACGTCTCAAAACTAGCGGGGAGGGCGAGGAGGATACTGTGTTTCTAGTTTTGAGACGTCTCAAAACTAGCGGGGAGGGCGAGGAGGATACTGTGTTTCTAGTTTTGAGACGTCTCAAAACTAGCGGGGAGGGCGAGGAGGATACTGTGTTTCTAGTTTTGAGACGTCTCAAAACTAGCGGGGAGGGCGAGGAGGATACTGTGTTTCTAGTTTTGAGACGTCTCAAAACTAGCGGGGAGGGCGAGGAGGATACTGTGTTTCTAGTTTTGAGACGTCTCAAAACTAGCGGGGAGGGCGAGGAGGATACTGTGTTTCTAGTTTTGAGACGTCTCAAAACTAGCGGGGAGGGCGAGGAGGATACTGTGTTTCTAGTTTTGAGACGTCTCAAAACTAGCGGGGAGGGCGAGGAGGATACTGTGTTTCTAGTTTTGAGACGTCTCAAAACTAGCGGGGAGGGCAAGGAGGATACTGTGTTTCTAGTTTTGAGACGTCTCAAAACTAGCGGGGAGGGCGAGGAGGATACTGTGTTTCTAGTTTTGAGACGTCTCAAAACTAGCGGGGAGGGCGAGGAGGATACTGTGTTTCTAGTTTTGAGACGTCTCAAAACTAGCGGGGAGGGCGAGGAGGATACTGTGTTTCTAGTTTTGAGACGTCTCAAAACTAGCGGGGAGGGCGAGGAGGATACTGTGTTTCTAGTTTTGAGACGTCTCAAAACTAGCGGGGAGGGCAAGGAGGATACTGTGTTTCTAGTTTTGAGACGTCTCAAAACTAGCGGGGAGGGCGAGGAGGATACTGTGTTTCTAGTTTTGAGACGTCTCAAAACTAGCGGGGAGGGCGAGGAGGATACTGTGTTTCTAGTTTTGAGACGTCTCAAAACTAGCGGGGAGGGCGAGGAGGATATTGTGTTTCTAGTTTTGAGACGTCTCAAAACTAGCGGGGAGGGCGAGGAGGATACTGTGTTTCTAGTTTTGAGACGTCTCAAAACTAGCGGGGAGGGCGAGGAGGATACTGTGTTTCTAGTTTTGAGACGTCTCAAAACTAGCGGGGAGGGCGAGGAGGATACTGTGTTTCTAGTTTTGAGACGTCTCAAAACTAGCGGGGAGGGCAAGGAGGATACTGTGTTTCTAGTTTTGAGACGTCTCAAAACTAGCGGGGAGGGCGAGGAGGATACTGTGTTTCTAGTTTTGAGACGTCTCAAAACTAGCGGGGAGGGCGAGGAGGATACTGTGTTTCTAGTTTTGAGACGTCTCAAAACTAGCGGGGAGGGCAAGGAGGATACTGTGTTTCTAGTTTTGAGACGTCTCAAAACTAGCGGGGAGGGCGAGGAGGATACTGTGTTTCTAGTTTTGAGACGTCTCAAAACTAGCGGGGAGGGCGAGGAGGATACTGTGTTTCTAGTTTTGAGACGTCTCAAAACCAGCGGGGAGGGCGAGGAGGATACTGTGTTTCTAGTTTTGAGACGTCTCAAAACTAGCGGGGAGGGCGAGGAGGATACTGTGTTTCTAGTTTTGAGACGTCTCAAAACTAGCGGGGAGGGCGAGGAGGATACTGTGTTTCTAGTTTTGAGACGTCTCAAAACTAGCGGGGAGGGCGAGGAGGATACTGTGTTTCTAGTTTTGAGACGTCTCAAAACTAGCGGGGAGGGCGAGGAGGATACTGTGTTTCTAGTTTTGAGACGTCTCAAAACTAGCGGGGAGGGCAAGGAGGATGCTGTGTTTCTAGTTTTGAGACGTCTCAAAACTAGCGGGGAGGGCGAGGAGGATGCTGTGTTTCTAGTTTTGAGACGTCTCAAAACTAGCGGGGAGGGCGAGGAGGATACTGTGTTTCTAGTTTTGAGACGTCTCAAAACTAGCGGGGAGGGCGAGGAGGATACTGTGTTTCTAGTTTTGAGACGTCTCAAAACTAGCGGGGAGGGCGAGGAGGATACTGTGTTTCTAGTTTTGAGACGTCTCAAAACTAGCGGGGAGGGCGAGGAGGATACTGTGTTTCTAGTTTTGAGACGTCTCAAAACTAGCGGGGAGGGCGAGGAGGATACTGTGTTTCTAGTTTTGAGACGTCTCAAAACTAGCGGGGAGGGCGAGGAGGATACTGTGTTTCTAGTTTTGAGACGTCTCAAAACTAGCGGGGAGGGCGAGGAGGATACTGTGTTTCTAGTTTTGAGACGTCTCAAAACTAGCGGGGAGGGCGAGGAGGATACTGTGTTTCTAGTTTTGAGACGTCTCAAAACTAGCGGGGAGGGCGAGGAGGATACTGTGTTTCTAGTTTTGAGACGTCTCAAAACTAGCGGGGAGGGCGAGGAGGATACTGTGTTTCTAGTTTTGAGACGTCTCAAAACTAGCGGGGAGGGCAAGGAGGATACTGTGTTTCTAGTTTTGAGACGTCTCAAAACTAGCGGGGAGGGCGAGGAGGATACTGTGTTTCTAGTTTTGAGACGTCTCAAAACTAGCGGGGAGGGCGAGGAGGATACTGTGTTTCTAGTTTTGAGACGTCTCAAAACTAGCGGGGAGGGCAAGGAGGATACTGTGTTTCTAGTTTTGAGACGTCTCAAAACTAGCGGGGAGGGCGAGGAGGATACTGTGTTTCTAGTTTTGAGACGTCTCAAAACTAGCGGGGAGGGCGAGGAGGATACTGTGTTTCTAGTTTTGAGACGTCTCAAAACTAGCGGGGAGGGCGAGGAGGATACTGTGTTTCTAGTTTTGAGACGTCTCAAAACTAGCGGGGAGGGCGAGGAGGATACTGTGTTTCTAGTTTTGAGACGTCTCAAAACTAGCGGGGAGGGCGAGGAGGATACTGTGTTTCTAGTTTTGAGACGTCTCAAAACTAGCGGGGAGGGCGAGGAGGATACTGTGTTTCTAGTTTTGAGACGTCTCAAAACTAGCGGGGAGGGCGAGGAGGATACTGTGTTTCTAGTTTTGAGACGTCTCAAAACTAGCGGGGAGGGCGAGGAGGATACTGTGTTTCTAGTTTTGAGACGTCTCAAAACTAGCGGGGAGGGCGAGGAGGATACTGTGTTTCTAGTTTTGAGACGTCTCAAAACTAGCGGGGAGGGCAAGGAGGATACTGTGTTTCTAGTTTTGAGACGTCTCAAAACTAGCGGGGAGGGCGAGGAGGATACTGTGTTTCTAGTTTTGAGACGTCTCAAAACTAGCGGGGAGGGCGAGGAGGATACTGTGTTTCTAGTTTTGAGACGTCTCAAAACTAGCGGGGAGGGCAAGGAGGATACTGTGTTTCTAGTTTTGAGACGTCTCAAAACTAGCGGGGAGGGCGAGGAGGATACTGTGTTTCTAGTTTTGAGACGTCTCAAAACTAGCGGGGAGGGCGAGGAGGATACTGTGTTTCCTGGAGGTACCGAGCGACCAGGCTTTTAACCGCTGCGCGTGCAGGTAGCGCTGGATCACGTAAGACGGCTCCACCTGCCTGATGGTTCTCTCATACTGCCCCATTGCTTCCTCATAGTCCTGCCGTGTGTGTGTGTGGGAGGGGAGGGGCAAGCTTGAATCACGTATGACGGCTCCACCTGTCCGATCGTGCGCTCATACTGGCCCATTGCCTCCTCATAGTCCTGTGGTGAGGGGGGGGAGGGGGAGGACGGGAGGATGAAAGAAGGATATTTTTCCACGCAAGTTGTGAGAAGGATTGGGGCCATATGGCGTGGTCGTCATATTCCACCTGCTTTTCATACAGGTGATCGCCGCATCGCCTGAGCACTTCGGCCGTGGCAGCGGCGTCCCCCCCCTGGGACACCACGAGGTCCAGCGCACTGGAGAGCCTCTTGTGGAACAGTGCCTCCAGCTTCCACGCCATATCCCTCTCCACCAGCAGTAGCCCCCTCGCCTCTATAGTCACTCACCGTCGCAGCCGCAGCCCCCTCGCCTTTACTCACTCACCTTTGTTGCACACGAGCCTTGAAGGCTGCTGAGCAACACGCCTCTCACCTGCTTTGCGTACAGATGATCCCCATATCTTCTGAGCACTTCAGCCGTGGCAGCAGCATCCCCTCCCTGGGACACCACCAGGTCCAGCGCACTCGAGTAGAGCCCCTTTCGAAAGAGTGCCTCTAGCTTCCAAGCCATGTCCCTCTCCACCAGCAGTAGCCCCCTCGCCTCCACTTGCACTCCTCCTCCTCCTCCCCCTCCCCCTCCCCCTCCTCCCCCACCCCCTCCTGCTGCTGTTCCGCCTCCTCCTCCGGCTCCTGCTCCCCCTGCTGCTGATACCCCGCCTGCATCTCCTCCTCCTCCCTCTCCTCGCCGGTGCAGGGAGAGGAGCACCACGGCGCCTCCCTCACACAGCAGCAGCAGGGGCGCGAGGAGAGAGGCGGCGGGGGTGAGGGGCGCACTGTGCACCATCAGCTTGTTGCGCGTGTCATATACTGAGAGTACCATTTTCTGCTGCTGCTGCTGCTGCTGCTGCTGCTGCTGCTGCTGCTGCTGGTGGTGGTGCTGCTGCTGCTGGTGCTGCTGGTGCTGCTGGTGGTGCTGCTGCTGCTGGTGCTGCTGCTTTCCAGACTCCCCACCGCCGCTGCCACCGCTGCCGCCACCACCACCAGTTGTTGTCGGGCCAGCAGCAGCAGAGGCAGCAGAGGCAGCAGGGGAGGGCGGCGAGTGCAGGCAGAGCAGGTAGCCTCGCAGGCAGGCGAGGCGGTGCTTGGGGCCGTCCAGCCCAAAGCACGCCCCCGGGCCATCCTCGTTGAAACAGTAGAAGGCCTCTGGACGCGCCACAACCAGGTCCTGATCGAGGGAAGGGGGGAAGACCGAGGAGATGAACGTGAGAGTGGGAGAGGAGATGCAAGGAAGGGGGCCCAGCCCAAAGCACGCCCCCAGGCCATCCTCGTTGAACCAGTGGAAGGCCTCTGGACGCGCCACCACCAGGTCCTGATTGAGGGAAGGGGGGAAGACCGAGGAGATGAACGTGAGAGTGGGAGAGGAGATGCAAGGAAGGGGGCCCAGCCCAAAGCACGCCCCCAGGCCATCCTCGTTGAACCAGTGGAAGGCCTCTGGACGCGCCACCACCAGGTCCTGATGGGGGAAGGGGCGGGGAGAGAGAATGTGTGTGTGAGGAATTGTAGGAGGAAGGACAAGGGGGAGCGGATGGAGGCGGTGCTTGGGTCCGTCCAGCCCAAAGCACGCCCCCGGCCCATCCTCGTTGAAACAGTAGAAGGCCTCTGGTCGTGCTACCACCAGGTCCTGATGGGTACGTGAAGGGGAGGGGACACAAGTGAGAGGAGAGGGCGGGGAACAGGCAGGGAGCAGGGATCGCCCACACTCATGCTCATCCACACTCGCTCACCTCACACACGCTCACTCACGCTCACCCACTCTCACTCATGCTCACTCACTCTCACTCACGCTCACTCACTCTCGCTCACGCTCACTCACTCTCACTCACGCTCACCTGCGTATCAGTCATGGCAGAGCAAAACACATCCCCTCCTCTCTCCTCCAGCACAACCCCCCACCCTCCTCCCCCTCCCCCTCCTACTCCCCTCCCCGCCCACCCTCCCTCCGCTGCAGCCCCAAACATGCCACTGGGAAGAGTGTACAGTGTGACTGTCTCCCCCGTGACTATAAAGAGCTGTGGGCCCGAATCCAGGATCCTGAACCCCAGCCCTGTGACTGCAACGGGGGGGAGATTTTCGGCAGTTGAAGCCAAAGCAGAGGCAGAGGTAGAGGCATAAGGGGCAGGGGGTGAGGAGGATGGGGAATGATCACTCCTCCCTCCTGCTCCTAGTCCTGCTGCTGCTATACCTCCTCTCCCTTCCCCAGCACCCAGCGCATCTCCTCCCCTTCCCCCTCTTCCTCCGCCTTCCCCCGCCCCCTCTCCTCCTCCTGCTCCTCCCCCCACTCCACCTGCTCCCCCAATCCCGCCTTGCCCCTGGCTGCTGTTGGGGGGGATTCTCAGCCGTTTGATCCGCATGGAGGAATCTGCTAGGAGCACATCAACGGCTCCTGTGGCCAATCCAACGGCCAGAAGGTAGCCTAGCTGTGGCGCCTCGCGAATGGCACAGGCTGTGATCTGCACGCATGGGGAACGGGAAGGAGGGGAGGAGGGGGCAGGGGACGGTCAGGGAAGTGGACAGGGGGGAGGACAGGGGGCAGGACAGGAAGGGAAGACAGGAGGTAGCCTAGCTGTGGCGCCTCGCGGATGGCACAGGCTGTGATCTGCACGCATGGGGAATGGGGAAACGTGGAGCGGCTTCATTATATTCCCAGGGTAGGAAGGGTGGGCTACAAGAGGGGCTAGAGTCACCAAGAGAAGACAGGGGTTGGGTGGGGTAGGGAAAGGGAGGGTGGGCCAGGGAGGAAGAAGAATGAGCAGATATTTGAGATCTGTAGTCAATCCAACCGTCTGGATGGATTGCCTATGATTGGATGAAATCAAACAGGCTTCTAATTTTACGCAAATATTGATCCACTCGCTCTACCACTCAAACGCACTCACTCACAAAAAACTCAAAGACTCACACTCACATACTAACTCGCTCACACACTCACACTCACTCACGAGCTCCCACACTCAATACAATCGACCAAACTACATAATCATCTGCACAGCAGGAGAGGCGTCTGAAAAGACGCTATAGGTATGCACACACACAGGCAGTTAGTGGTACATAATCATTCACTCTCACGCTCCTCGCCCATTAGACATGACCACCACACGCTCACTCACTCACCTGTGCGGCAGGAAATGCGTCTGAGCAGAGAAGATGTTATAGGTCCGTAAAAGCGCCAGTGCACCTCCCCAACACTCACACAGTCGCACATTCAACAGATCACCCAATCAACATTATCATACTCACTCACCTGTGCAGCAGGGCATGCGTCTGAGAAGATGTTATAGGTCCGTAAAAGCGCCAGTGCACCTCCCTCTTCTCTACCGTTTGCGTGTGCACACACATCTGCACTCACTCACTCCAGCACTCACTCACCTGTGCAGCAGGAAATGCGTCTGAGAAGATGTTATAGGTCCGTAAAAGCGTCGGTGCGCCTCCCTCCGCTGTTGCTGCACCTGAAGCACCTGAAGAACCACCTGAAGCAGCAGCCTTGTCCAGGTCCCACAGCATCACTGCTGCTCCTTTTGCCTCCTTGCCCACTGTCAAAAGACAGCTGCGTTGCTGAAAAGTAGGGGTGGAAGGGAGGGGCGGAGGGGGGTGAGGGGCGGAGCCAGAAGGGGGATTTGAGGGCAGGAGCAGCAGTTTTGCCTCCAGCCCCCACAGCATCACTGCTGCACCCTTTGCCTCCTTGCCCACTGCCAACAGACAGCTGCGTTGCAGCAGGCGGAGAGGTGGAGGTGAAGGAAAGAAGGGAAAAAGGGGGGTTGACAGCAGCACCAACAGGAACAGCAATATTGTCCAGCCCCCACAGCGTCACTGCTGCTCCCCTGGCCTCCTTGCCCACTGTCAGCAGACAGCTGCGTTGCTGCTGCAGGCGGAGGGCGGAGGAAGGGGGGAATGTGAGAATAAGAATGTTACACAGGTGGATGTCAGGATGTTACCTGAAATGGGTGTGAGGAGTTACCTGAAATGGGTGTGAGGAGTTACCTGAAATGGATGTCAGGATGTAACTTCAAATAAATGTCAGGATGTTACCTAGAATGGATGTTACGATGTGTCCGTGTAAGTACCTATTGAAAAGCTGTTGCTACGTTTAAAGACGTCCTGGTCTCACCTTGAACAGGTGTAGAAACGCCACGGGACCTTCATGAGCCACGAAGCTTCGCCGAACCTGCAGCGACCGATCTAGCAACAGAACCGAGCCGCTCTCCGTGCCAACGGCTAGTCGGCCTCGGCCTCCCGCGCCGCACCGCACGCCCTGCGCGAGCGCGTCGGCTAGCGGCCCGACCGGAGAACGGTCCTCGAAAAACTGGAAGCGACGCCACTGATTCATAGCGATCAGAGTAGGTTGAAATAACAATCTGATTGAGTTAGAATGGCGATTAGTGGATGAACAAAGTGAGTCAACTAAGATCACGGATTCATGGCGACCAGACTGGTTACCAATCACCAGTAACTAATCTGATACTAATTAGAGAACGAATGTCCGTTATGAAAAGGAGGTTGCATATTGTTGACCAATCAATGTCTCAGCCCGTTAGAATCGGATGTGCACTAGCTAGCGTAGGCCTGTGCGTTTCAGAATCGTCCGTAAAGTACCAAGGGCCATAACACTGCCATCCCCTTGCCTAGCGGGCTAGCTCAGCCTAGAAGTTGTCAGAGAGATTGGTTATTGTTACGAGTGCAATTGAGCGAGTGAGCTAGAATTGCACTATCGAAGCAAAACAATGAGCGAAGGCATGAGCGAAGAATATATAGCTAACTAGAGTGGTAACGGTAACGCGAGAAATTGGGGTGCGCTACGTGTCAGAACATTATAGCTCATGCATATTGTGTAGGCTATAGTGGGGTAGCCCATAAGGGGTACAACCCAATTAGGGTTATTACTTGTACTCAATTCATTCATAGTTGATTCATTCCTTGTTTCTTCTCATGGTATCGAGCAGGTTCCCCTGTGGGAACTGTTCCTAGGGCCCACCGTTTTTTTTTTTCCTGCCCGGAGCGCACTCAGCCCCTGCCCGAGTCGCGCTCCCCTCTCTCGCGCCGCCCTAGCGGCCCCTTAGCGCCGCCCTCGCGGCCCCTTCGAGCCGCCCTCGCGGCTCTATCCGCTGCCCTTCGCGGCCCCTACTCCGCCGCCCTCGCGGCCCCGATCCGCCGCCCTCGCGGCCCCGATCCGCCGCCCTTCGCGGCCCCGATCCGCCGCCCTCGCGGCCCCTTCTCCGCCGCGCTCACGGCCCCTATCCGCCGCCCTCGCGGCCCCGCTCCGCCGCCCTCGCGGCCCCGATCCGCCGCCCTTCGCGGCCCCGATCCGCCGCCCTCGCGGCCCCGCTCCGCCGCCCTCGCGGCCCCGATCCGCCGCCCTTCGCGGCCCCGATCCGCCGCCCTCGCGGCCCCTACTCCGCCGCCCTCGCGGCCCCGATTCGCCGCCCTCGCGGCCCCGATCCGCCGCCCTCGCGGCCCCTTCTCCGCCGCGCTCGCGGCCCCTACTCCGCCGCCCTCGCGGCCCCGATTCGCCGCCTTCGCGGCCCCGATCCGCCGCCCTAGCGGCCTCCGGCCCCTGCTCCTACGGCCCCGGCGCCTGCTCCTACGGCCCCCGCGCCTACTCCTACGAGCAGCCCACCCGCCGAGCCGCCCAGCAACCGAGCAGCCCAGCCGCTGAGCCGCCGAGCCGCCCAGCAACCGAGCCGCCCAGCCGCCGAGCCGCCCAGCAGCCGAGCCGCCCAGCCGCCGAGCCGCCCAGCAGCCGAGCCGCCCAGCAGCCGAGCCGCCCTGCCGCCGATACGCCCAGCAGCCGAGCCGCCCAGCAGCCGAGCCGCCCCGCCGCCGAGCCGCCGAGCCGCCGAGCCGCCGAGCCGCCGAGCCGCCCAGCAGCCGCGCCGCCCAGCCGTCGAGTCGCCGAGCCGCCCTGCAGCCGAGCCGCCCGAACCGCCCTGTCCGGTAAGAGCAGCGCCTCTCTCACAGCACTGCCCTCACCCTACTGTTTGCACTGCTAGTCTACTGCTGTCATGGCTACCCCTAGTGTCCTCGCTTTTGACGCTGAGGGTCGGGCCATTGACTTTGACGTCTGGATAGATGACCTGCAGCTTTTCTTACAGTGCGACAGAGCAGACGGCCTCTCCCTCTTTGACCTCACTTCTGGTGCCTCTCCTGCCCCCGCTGCTGATGCTGACGCCACTGTTCGCTCACAGTGGGCCACGCGCAATGCTGCTGCACGTCTTGCTGTGCGTCGCCACTTACCTACCTCTGAGCGTGCGCACTTTAGCCAGTACAAGAGTGCTCAGACCTTGTACGACGCTGTAGTTGCACGCTACTCCTCCCCTGCCACTGCTGCACTGAGCCGCCTCATGCTACCGTACCTCTTCCCTGACCTTGCTGCCTTTCCCACAGTCGCTGACCTCATTACGCACCTCCGCACTAGTGACACTCGCTACCGCGCTGCGCTTCCTGCTGAGTTCTGCGCCAAGAACCCCCCCCCCATGTACATCACCCTCTACTACATAGTCACCCGTCTCCCTGACTCCCTTCGCGTAGTCAGGGACCACTTCCTCTCGGTTTGTCCCACCACTCTCACCGTTGACCTCCTCGAGAAGGCCCTCCTAGCAGCAGAAAAGAGCATAGTCGCTGTAGGAGCCTCTCGTGGTGACCCTCGCACCCCCATCTTTGAGGGGTGTTCCCCCTCCCCTCTTTTGCCCTCTGTTGCCTCTGCTGCTGCGGCCGACCTCGCTGGTTTGGAGTCGGTTGGGGCAGCGTCTACCCCTAGCGGGAGACGCCGCCCTGGCAGGGGCAAGGGGGGCAGGGGCGCTGGAGGAGCTAGCGGGGGCGGTGGAGGCGGCAGTGGAGGCGGTGGAGGAGGTGGGGGTGGCGGTGGGGGTGGTGGCGGGGGTGGAGGTGTAGGTGGCGGCAGTGGAGGCGCAGGCGGCAGCGGCGGTGGCGGAGGGAGCGGAGGTGGCGGCGGTGGAGGAGGAGGCGGCGGAGGAGGTGGAGCTGGTCGGGGTGGCGCTGCGCAGAGGGTCAGCTCCGGTGGTGGTCAGCGCCAGCAGCAGCAGCAGCAGCAGCAGCAGCAGCGCACTCGTGACGTCCCCTCCCCTCAGCAGCTCCGTGAGTGGTACACTGCACGCCAGAGGGGTGGGGGTACTGGTCCGTGCACCTACGTCCTGCGCACCGGCGACCGCGCGGGTGAGCAGTGCGGGGGTGCGCACTCCACCCAGCGCTGCTTTGGCCGCCTGACGGACGCTTGGCGTCACCAGTTCCCTGAGGCCACTGAGATCCCCCGCTGGGGTGAGCTGTCTAGGGCGGGTGTAGCTGTCTTTGACCTTGACTTTGATGCTATTCTTGCTGCCATGTATACTGTGACTATTAGTGATGAGGGTGACTGTTACCGGTGTTTTCCGCCCGACCCGGGCATTGAGACTGCTGCTCTAGGTCCTGGTGAGGCTGCTGCTCTAGGTGCTAGCGAGGCTGCTGCTCTAGGTGCGTCTGCTCCCTCAGGTACTGGTGAGTCTGCTCTCTCATGTTCTGCGTCGGCTTCGGCCTCCCACACCTTTACCCTTGACTCGGGGGCTTCTCGCTCCTTCTTTCGAGACCGCACCACACTCACGCCACTTGGCCGGCCAGTTGCGGTCTCTCTGGCAGACCCCTCTGGGGGTCCTGTCCTTGCTCACTTCTCCACTGTCCTCCCGTGTCCGGCGGCCCCCTCTGGCACCCTGTCTGGTCTTTACCTCCCCTCGTTCTCTACGAACTTGGTGAGTGGTGCTGACCTACAGGATGCGGGGGTTCACCAGTTCACTCCTGCGAGTCAGCGGGTGACCCACTGCACGGACGCTCGGACAGGCCGACACCTGGCCACGTTTACACGTCGGCCGGGGTCGAGCCTGTACACACTGACCACTGCGTCTCCTCCGGTCCCTGCGTCTGGTCAGGTAGCTGCGTCGGGTCAGGTGTTTGCTGCAGCGTCCAGGTCTGGTCCTGAGTCTGCCCCCTGCTCGTGTCGCCTCCTGTCTCACGAGACTCTCCTCTGGCACCACCGCCTTGGTCACCCCTCCCTGCTTCGTCTCTGGAGCATGGCCTCCCGTGTCCTTGTCTCTGGTCTTCCCCGGTCCCTCCCTCCACTTCCTCCGGGGCCTGGCCCTACCTGCGTCCCCTGTGTCGAGGGACGACAGCGGGCTACCCCTCACTCCTCCCAGTTTCCTCCGACAGAGGCCCCGCTGCAGACGCTTCACATGGACGTGTGGGGCCCGGCCCGCGTCCGTGGACAGGGTCACGAGCGCTACTTCCTGCTGGTGGTTGACGACTACTCGCGTTACACCACAGTCTTCCCCTTGCACAGCAAGGGTGATGTCACTGAGGTGTTGATCGACTGGATCCGCGCAGCTCGTCTCCAGCTCAGGCGGAGCTTCGGCTCGGACTTTCCTGTTCTGCGTCTGCACTCTGACAGAGGAGGAGAGTTCTCCTCTGGCCTTCTGCGAGCCTACTGTCGTGCACGAGGCATCCGCCAGACCTTCACGCTTCCGGACTCTCCACAGCAAAATGGGATTGCTGAGCGCCGCATTGGCATGGTCATGGACGTCGCCCGTACGTCCATGATGCATGCGGCTGCCCCCCATTTTCTGTGGCCGTTTGCGGTTCGGTACGCGGCGCATCAGATCAACCTTCAGCCCAGGGTCTCCATGCCGGAGACCTCCCCAGCCTTGCTGTGGACGGGGAAGGTTGGCGATGCGTCTGCGTTCCGTGTCTGGGGATCTCGGGCGTTTGTCCGCGACTTGTCTGCGGACAAGCTGTCCCCTCGTGCTGCTCCTTGCGTCTTCCTGGGTTTCCCCCCTGACGCCCCAGGGTGGCAGTTCTACCACCCCACCTCTCGCCGTGTTCTGTCCTCCCAGGACGTCACGTTCGACGAGTCGGTCCCCTACTACCGCCTCTTCCCCTACCGCACTCCGTCCCTCCCCCCGCCACCGCTCTTCCTGGTACCAGGTCCCCCCCCGGCCCTCAGGGTCCTGCCCCTTCAGGTGTGTCCCAGGTAGACGCTGTTGAGCCTGTCGAGGTCACTGGTGACTCTGGTGCTGCTGAGGGTGCTGAGCCTGGGAGTGCTGACTCTGGGGGTGCTGAGCGTGTGGGTGCTACGCCTGGGGGTGCTGAGCCTGAGGGTACTACGACTGGGGGTGCTGAGCCTGGGGGTGCTGAGTCTAGGGGTGCTACGCCTGGGGGTGCTGCGTCTGGGGGTGCTGAGCCTGGGGGTGCTACGCCTGGAGGTGCTGAGCCTGGGGGTGCGGAGCCTGAGGGAGCTGGGCCTACTGGTGCTGTGCCTGGCGGTTCTCCGGGTGCTTCTTCTCGCCGGGA